CCTGCTGAAAATAGGAAGCTTCATCAATATCTCTGTCCTGCTCTGAGGTAGTCACTTTGTGTGCAATTCCTAAGAATGATATTAGTACAGTGTAAAGTAGTATATAATTAAAATTAAGAATCTGTATGCATGGCACATGGCAGACTGCTATTAGGTGTGTGTCATCTTTTTCCCCCAACTCCACCATCATAGTCCTTAATCTTCAAACACTAGATAGATGAATTATGCTTGGTGTTGCCATTGGCAGACATCTGCACCAGTCATGACATGATGTTCATGACACCCAAATATTCGAAACACAAGTACACGGATTCTACCCATTATATACAAAATAACACTATACTGCACAGAGGCACTACAGATTATCTGACAAACACTGAACACCCTGTCCCTGCCCCCTCATTGTGATCCGTCATTCTATGCTGTACTGTACTTTAACCAATTACTCTCATTTCTGCTTTATTTCATGCCTGGCAGACGGCCCAGAAATTAGCCCAGAGCAAGAAGAAGGTGCAGTACCTACATATCTGTATTGTCCTCCACACTTCCAAGTGCAGCATCTTTTTCCTCTGCTTGGATCTTTTCCTCTGTCTGTCTATACACTCTCCTTTCTTCAGTGTTGTGTCATTCTGATGAATTGTTAGCATTTTCCTGAATCCAGCAATCACCTATGCTTAGCCAGAGGTGATTTCCATTGTTTTTGTTCCCTCTCTCACGTCCTTACCTCACAATTTTTTAAAATTCATACATTTTGTTAGCTCCATAATTTGGAATACTATAGGGTAACTCCACTTCAATTATTTGATCACTCCTTGCTCAACCCAGACATTGTTCTGTTTCACCATCTTGAAGGACATCCCAAAAACTCTTATTCCTGCTCTGAGGTACAAAGACTGAGGAATGAGGAGCAACAATGCTCTACCACTTTTCTCCAAGAAAAGGAAAAAGAATTGGCCTACTGGCATAATCTGGTTGAAATTCATAACGTTGCTTTATTGTGAGCGCTTCAAGATCCAATCATCAGTAAAGTGTATGTCCTGCAAAATGGAATGTTCTAAGTTGTGGTAAAATTTAAGATGTGATTGATTCACAACTTTGACTCAAACAATGCGCGCTCTGATGTGCAACTGACACCCGCCAGTATTTGTGTGTTTTGTTCAACCACATATATGATGACGTGAATGGTTCACACCGACACAGTTCTAGTGTCGACTACGGACTCTGTTTACAAAAGACAAGTGACAGAATGAAACTTTGGCACATGCTGACCAGTCATGGCCTCGTGCACAGCTGATGTGTTCACTGTTGCTGGTTGATATGTAAACCAAGATGATGCAGAAGCTCAGTGAACAATCAGTACATTGTGGAGTTGGTTTAAAACTGGAGCAGAGAGCATCTCTTTTGTTATAGATTTAGGAGGCATTTAATCACTGTCATGACAAATGTCGTGTCCACTATTTAGTCCCCCATAGAGATTATGCCCTAGTATTAGCTATTAATTCATACTGTTGGGCAAATACAGTTGCCATCGTAGTAAAAGTGTTTACAATGCTCTCGAAGAAAGCTACAACTTAACCATGCACATACACATGTGTGCCATAGGTGCGCGCCGGTGCTTCGTCAAATAGCATTACACCTCTGATAAAGACATGCGAGGATACAAGAAACCATCTTTCATGGAAGTCTCATATGAACTCTCTTATAGGAAATCATCTGGTGATGGGACATTTCAGACTGGGAAAAAAAGGATGACTTATGTCTATAAAAGCATGTTTCCTTTATTTCTTTCTCCTTGCATTTTCTTTTTGTGCCCTTATCCTTGCATCTTGCGTGGGAGAAAAACAAGGAAAAGACGTAAGTGAGCAAATGTGAATGAAATTAAGGAAGTTGGAATTTACCCTAGATTCTTAAAAACTTGTCAGCTGCTTCTAATGAAAGGAATTCATTTAGCTGGATGCAGGAAATGGCTGTCATCATTCTGACACTGTGAGGTCTTACTGGGTTTGAGGTTTTATTCAGTGTGCTTTCTCACTCTGGTGCTGTTTCTAGTTGTAGTGATCCTATACATAACTTTACATAATAACCTACAGTACATGCTCATGTTTGCTAACCTACCCAGAGTAAGATGACAAAATTTAATATCAAATTTATTTTCATGTGTACAGAGATAGAGTGTGTTAGTAACTCTATGAAGCTGATCTCTGTACACATGAAAATAAGAGTGTGTTAGTAACTCTATGAAGCTGTAATTAGGCACAGCAGTGCTTTGATTGCTAATGTCTGCATTCTGCCATGCTCACAGTGACAATGATAACATACTGAAGTTGTGTATGTTTACCATGGTCACCATCTCAATTTAATGTTAGCATGCTAATATGCCACTAAGAACTAAACAAAAAGTGTAGGTGAAGCTGATGGGGATCTATCTGTAACTAAAACTAAAAACCTAGAGTGTTCAAGGAAGACATTAAGTTAAAATTAAGGGTTTTATCAAACCCAAAAGGATTGATCCTCTGAGGACCATGACTGGCAAATTACATAGCAATTAGTCAAAAATTCATCAAGATATTCCAAACTGGACCAAAGGCCAGCACTGCCATCCCTAGAATGTGCTGCTAGTATGGCTAAAGGTCTCCGTTTCTGCAGCTATTTTTGTCATCTTTTCTTATGTAGATTGATCAAGTATAATAAAGAAAAGTACTTTGTAAAGCAGAGTATTTGTAAAATGCTTTAGTGTGACTACTACAACCTTTCATACATTTCTACATTACATGTCAGTGATGGACATAATTTGTATATCGAATCCACTATCATATATATCGACACTGTGCAAGAGGCGGGGTACGCCCTGGACAGGCCGCCAGTCTATGACAGGGCTATGATAGGAAAATGGCAAACTTAAATAAACTGCTGATAAGGGAGTTTATCTTGATCACACACATCAGGCTATCACATCACAGGAAAGGAGGAAATTCTAACCAATTGCATAGTAGTTTTTTAATTATGCAGGTTAGGAAACCATGCATAATCATAGAACAGTATAAAGAATGTTACAGATATTTCTTTTAGTTTACTCTTGGAGCATGAGTCCAGACTTCATGGATCAGGAAGTTGAATAAATTTAGCCATTCTTTTGTCTTTCAGTATGTTTTCTTGCACTGTGTGCTTTGGTTGTAGTGAGACTGTTACTAACCTCTAACCTTAGTCTGTTCATTCAGGGTTGCCATTTTTATGTCTCCAATATTGCTTTGCAAATGTGATTGTGTGTATGTGTGTGTAGGCCCATGAGGGTGAACCTCAGCCCATGACAGAGGTGGATCTCTTCATCTCCACCCAGAGAATCAAAGTGCTCAACGCTGATTCCCAGGTACCCATGCTGACTGAAGCCCCACCTGCAATTCTAGTGCCTTTTTTGTCACCTCATCAGGAAAGAGCCTGCATATTATTCAGTGGTTTAAATATTACAAAATCAATAAGGAACGCACTGAAATAGTACACTGTCAACTTCTGCTGCCACATAGTTGGCATGTGCTGCTAACTATGGCTAATTTGCTAAAAAGTAAACTGCTTGATGAGGGTTCAGGTCACACCTAGTGTCTGCCTTCTTTGCATGGTTCACCGACCAGCTGAGTGAATAAAGACTTCTGTTTGGGAAATTAAACAGGCCACCCAACTAACCTCTCTAATGTCTGACAGAACAAGTAGTTGCAACATCAGCTTTCCATGCATACAGTATACTGCTAAATCTATATTATACATGTAGGAGAGATAAGAAGCTATTGACATGCCTATCATCCATAACTGGTATATTTTCGTTAGTGACATGCAGAACCCTTGATGGGCTAGCAGTATTGCAAACTGATGCAGTCATTGGTTCGCTTTTTACCCAAACATATTGACAGACATGCTGCTGGGACTATAGCAGCATTGTACACGTACTTGCCCGTGGACTATGTATGCCTGGCTGACTATCAATCTACAAGTGGATGGTAAGGGCTGAGTTTATCTTTGACAAGGGCAGAATATATTTCAGGAGAATGTAAACACCCTCTGTCCTTAGACCCTTGGCTCAGATAAGGAACAACTTCTCAAAACACCCTTTAACAGGGGTAAAAAATGGAAGAAACCTCAGGAAGAGCAACAGAGTGATCCCTTTTCCAGGATGAACAGACATGCAATAGATGTCATGTGTACAGGATAAATCAGCATCATAGATTTACAATTTGTACAATCAGAATGACAAAAATTCTGCAGCATAGTTTTAACATATATTAAGAATATATTTGACATCAAATATTAATTATGATTATTAGAAGCAAAGAAGTCCAGCAATTAAAATTCCCTGATTTCTTTCTGGCTTGTGTTGCCCTTAAGGAATGTAAGGACATTAAATGTTTAGGTCATCACATAACCAGTGATGTTTGGGATGATAAGGACATCTACAGGCAGTGTAGAAAATTATATGCACAAAAATTTTGTATGTGCTCAGTGGCTGTGAAAATGTCATTGTTCAAAGCTTATTGTACCCCCATGTATACTGCCCATTTGTGACACTGCTACAAAAAGGGCAGTATGCAGAGATTGACTGTGGCCTAAAATGATGGTATGAGGCTGCTGATTAAAGCTCAAGTGTTTGGTAGTGTTGGGCAGGGCTGTTGATAAACATAAAGCTCTACTGGGCCACAGGCCCCCCCCTCTACTCTGATCACACAATTGTTTTTCTTGAATGTTCATAAATGTTTACTGCATGGCTAAATTTGCTATGAACTTCCCTTGCTTATCCCACTGTTGCACTGCCTGCTGCTTCTACTACAACTACCAGTAAAGGTAAAAATGTAGAAATATTAAGCTTTATGAAAATATTTATTTCAACATACATTAAGAAAATTTTCAATATGATTTTATGGTGTAAAGGTCTGGCCCTGTACTGGGCATTTCTTTGCATTCTTCTGTATTTTACAATAGCTTAATTGTCAAGCAGCCCCAGTTTGACTTAGGAGATGTAAACTTTCACAACAAATGAATCTATCAACAAATCTTTAATATAAAGAAAAACATTCTCTCTTTTTTTGTAACTCATAAGTCCATATAACATGTTGATGCTCCAATTCTTTCAAAATTGTATTGTGCAGTGGACGGCTGGTCACACACCTACAGTATCTTGGCAGAATATTTATGACATGTACTGATGGAGTTAGTGGGTTTGATGTTAGGATGTAGTCAGTTCTCAAAAATATCTTGTGGACATGTAAAAAATAGGTGCAGTCCCTGGTCACAGTGTTTATTTAATTTCTAACCTCAGATTTAGGTCTTGACTGTTGTGCTTTTCTGGTTTTCAGGAGACCATGATGGACCACCCTTTGCGGACCATCTCATACATTGCTGACATTGGCAACATTGTGGTTCTGATGGCCCGGCGCAGGATGCCTCGGTCTGACTGTCAGGAGAACGTGGAGGCTTCAGACCCAGATCAAGACAGCAAGCGCCAGTACAAGATGATATGCCACGTGTTTGAGTCTGAGGATGTGAGTCCAACAACAACATTTTATTATGTATTTTCCTGTCAGACACCGTGCATTTTTTGTATTATTAATTTTGACAGTTTAATCAAATGTTAAAAAGCACTTGTGCCCAGACTACCACCCTGTTCTTTAGGCCCAGTTAATTGCCCAGTCCATCGGACAGGCCTTCAGTGTGGCTTACCAGGAATTCTTACGGGCCAATGGCATTAACCCTGAGGACCTTAGCCAGAAGGAGTATAGTGACTTGCTCAACACTCAGGATATGTACAATGATGACCTTATTCACTTCTCGAAGTCTGAGAACTGCAAAGATGTAAGTAGGCTATGTATTATACAAACCAATTTGCTCCTTAAAAGTAATTTGTTCTTATACTGATTAAAAAAAAAGTTTGATCTTCTTTTTAATCACTGTTATGGGTTATACATTATGAAGGTTCTGTTCTCATTGCTCTGTCAATCACATTTACATTAATGCATTCTGGTAGTGCACAGTGCCATCACCAATAAACTACATTATATATTATTTATGATTTTGTATTATGATGCAGAAAATTGTAATAAGTGAAAAGTCATATTTGAGTAGACTCACTTTAAAATGTTTTTCGGCAGGTGTTCATAGAGAAAACTAAGGGGGAGATTCTGGGTCTGGTCATTGTGGAGAGTGGGTGGGGATCCATCCTGCCCACTGTAATCATTGCTAACATGATGCATGCTGGGCCAGCTGAGAGATCTGGCAAACTGAACATAGGAGACCAGATCATGTCCATCAATGGGACCAGTCTGGTGGGATTGCCACTGTCTACCTGCCAGAGCATCATAAAGGTATGTGTATGACATTGCTTGTAATAACAGATGAGTATTATTGATTATGGAAGTGCACAGGTAGCACAGGGGCAAATTTCATTCCTACCACTCCACAGACTCAGGGTACATTGCTGTTAGCTGTACCTCCAGGTTGGTTGTTCTATGTATTTGTTTTTGTTTTTTTTTACCAAATTGCCTTTATCTTATTGTCTTTGATCTGTCAAGCACTTTGCTCTAAGTTGTATGAAAGGTGCTTTATAAATAAAGTTTGATTTGATTTGATTCTTCTAGAATTTTGCCCATTGTTTATATACTGACATCACAGTGATACCATGCACTTATATAGGGTCTGAAGAACCAGTCTCGGATCAAGCTGAACATTGTCAGATGTCCCCCAGTGACCACTGTTCTCATCAGACGGCCAGACCTTCGCTACCAGCTGGGCTTCAGTGTCCAGAATGGCATTGTGGGTAGCAATGTGTTTCTGCTGTTTTTATGTTAAATGATACTTGCACTTCTGTTAAATTGCTTGATTGAAAAGAATTGATCTGTGCCTTCAACAGATCTGTAGCCTTATGCGTGGGGGCATCGCTGAACGTGGCGGGGTCAGAGTGGGTCACCGGATTATTGAAATCAACAGCCAGAGCGTGGTGGCTACACCCCATGAAAAAATTGTCCACATCTTGTCCAGTGCTGTGGGAGAGGTGAGATGGCACACTGGAGACATAAAGACTGTGTTGTGAATCACACTTTTTGACATCACTATTTGATGTTTTGACATGGCTAAATGCTGCTAAATGGCCATCTCTGCATGTCCGCAGACTTTAGCATTGATTGGTTTTTATATATAAATCTCTCCTTGGGCCGGTCCTTTGTAAATACATGCGTAAAGACCAGAATCAATATGGCCTGCACTCACATAGTATTTTGCAGATGTTAGTCAGTGTTAGAACAGAATTAGGCAAAAAAAAGCTTTCAAATACACTGGCCTTTCTTCCTGGAGTAACCTGGAGTAATGTGCCGAAGGACCTGAAATTATCAAAACTGATTGCTATGGGACAATTTAAGTAACTTTTAAAGGACCAAGAAAACAGTACTATTAGTCAGTGTGATTGTTTACACCATGTCATCATTGAAAAAGATGTTAATCTCAATGGGGCTTCACCTGGCTAAATTAACAATCAGTAAATAAAATCAAGTATAATTTTTGGTCCTGACCAAAGGCCTTCTGGCACTTACTACTAAAAGAACCTAAGGGGACATATTTCTCTAATAGGTTAGCAGTTATCATACAGATGTCTGTACTTTATGGCCATAAGGTTATATGAGTTAGTAACAGTCAGTGAGACAGCTCAGTTGTTGAGCAGAAGAAATGGCATCAGATGTCTCTTAATCAGTTTTGCAGCGAGGGCTTCCAGCAGGGCAGTTTGCTTGGTTATAAACAGCAACAGCAGCTACATGACACCCAAAGGTGCATGCCAGTGTGAGCAGCTCAACACTGCATGCCTTAAAACAACATCCTGATCTCCCAGGTCAGAAGAGTTCAAAATGTTAATACTTGACCCTGCACCACCAAGCCTCTAATGTGTCACATTATAGTTTAAGGAGAAGGAGAAGAATCTATATACAGTCATCGCCAAAAATATTGTCAGCCCTTGTTTTTCCTTCAGATAATGCACAATTTCTCCAGGAAAATTGCTGCAAACACAAATTATTTGGTATTCTCATGATTATTTCTTTTGTTTGCATTGGAACAACACAAAAATCTGAGGAAAAAAAGCCACACAGAATTATTGACACCCTCAACTTAATCTTTGGTAGCCCACCCCTTGGACAAAATAAATCAGTCACTTCCTGTAACCATCAGTGAGTTTCTTCCATGTCTCTACTGGAATTCTGCACCACTCTTCTTTTGCCAACTGCCCCAGGTCTCTTACATTTGAAGGCTTCCTTTTCCCAACTGCTGTTTTGAGATCTTTCCACAGGTTCTCTATGGGATTTAGATTGGGACTCACTGCTGGCCACTTCAGAACTCTCCAGCTCATTGTCTGAAACCATTTCTGGTGCTTTTTGAAGTTTCGGTCATTGTCCTGCTGTAAGACCCAGGACCTCTAACCCAACTTTCTGACACTGGCCCTACATTGTGTCCCAGAACTCACTGGTAGTCTTCAGATTTCATAATGCCAAACACACAGTCAGACATCCAGAGCCTGAAGCAGCAAAGCAGCAAAGCAGCCCCAACACACCAGTGAACCTCCACCGTGTTTGACTGTAGGGACCCTGTTCTTTTCTTTGAAGGCCTCATTTCATTTTCTGAAAACAGTTGAATGATGTGCTCGACCAAAAAGCTCTGTTTTAGTCTCATCTGTCCACAGGACATTCTCCCAGAAGGGCTGTGGCTTCTTCAGGTATGTTTTGGCAAACTACAGTCTGGATTTTTTATGTTCCTGTGTCAGCAGTGGGGTCCCCCTGGGTCCCTTGTCATTCAGATGGTGACAGATAGTGTGAGCTGACACTGTTGCACCCTGTGCCTGCAGTTCAGCTTGGATTTGTTTGGAAGTTGATTGAGGTTCTTTATCCACTATTCAAACAATTCTTCATTACAATCTGTCATCTATCTTTCTCTTTCATCCACATCCAGGGAGATTAGCTACAGCGCCATGGGCTGTAAACTTCTTGACCATGTTGCACACAGGAACAGCCAGATCGCTGGAGAAGGACTTTGAGCCTTGAGACTGTCCAGGCTTTTCCACTATTGTGCTTCTCAAATCTTCAGACAATTCTTTGCTCAACTTTCTTTTCTCCATGCTCAATGTGGTCCACATGACACAAAGTTTGAGACAACTTTTCTTCATTTTAACTGCCTGCAAGTGTGATTTCTATGTTACCAGCACCTGTTGATTTCTGCAGGTGAGTTTCATTACAAATTAAAGGAGCATCACGTGCTGGAAATACAACTATTTTTGATGATTTTGAAAAAGTGTCAATAATTGTGTCCAGTCCATTTTTGAAGTTCTGTGTGGAATGGATCAGATTTGGCTTTTTCTCTCTGCTTTTTATGTTGTTCCAATGCAAACAAAAGAAATAAACATGAATACCAAAGAATTTGATTGCAACACTTTTCTGGGAGAAGTGGTGTGTTATCTGACAGAAATACAGGGCCAGTATTTTTGGCCATGACTTTTGTGTGTGTGTGTGTTTGTGTGTGTGTGTGTGTGTGTGTGTGTGTGTGTGTGTGTATAAAATAGCACCCCCACCCCTTTGGAGCGGTCTTATTCCTTCCTTCAAGCTCAGGTCCTGGGAGCTTGAGGGTCCTGTGCAGTATCTTAGCTGTTCGTAGCTTCTCGTGTTCCTTCTTCCTGATGTTGCTATCGCTTGAGATTGCTACATCTATCACTACGGCCTTCTTCTTCTGTTTGTCCACCACTACTATGTCCGGTTGGTTGGCCATTACCAGTTTGTCATTTTGTATCTGGACGGCCCACAGGATCGTAGCTTGGTCATTCTCAGCAACCTTTGGAGGTGTATCCCATTTTGACTTTGGGACTTCCAGTCTGTACTCGGCACAGATGTTCTGGTACACTATCCCAGCCACTTGGTTATGGTGTTCCATGTATGCCCTGCCTGCTAGCATCTTGCACCCCACTGTTATGTGCTGGATTGTCTCAGGGGCATCTTTGCACAGCCTGCACCTGGGGTCCTGTCTGGTATGGTAGACCCCAGCCTCTATTGATCTTGTACTTAGAGCCTGTTCCTGTGCTGTCATGATTAGTGCATCTGTGCTATCTTTCAGTCCAGCTTTGTCCAGCCACTGGTAGGATTTTTCGATACATACCGTGCAGAGGTTTGTCCTTCCATGAAGGTTCCTGCTCTTCCTTCCGTTGTTCCTCTGTGTATATACTGTATATACACACACATACACAGTAATACCCAACAAATTCACTATTTTCTCCCAAGTACATTTGAAGAAAAGTACAATAGTCAAGATATAGAAAAATAGAATTTGCCTTTATTAAAAATGAAACTACAGTATAGAGTAGAGAAGTCAATATTGAGAGTGAATGGAAGAAAAATCTTTGGTAAATTTTATGTCAGTCTTTTGGTCATTGATCCTTTCATGGGGTTTGGTCATAATTTGAAAAATATAGAAGAACAACAATCTTGTCCTTTAAAGTGTAATGAACAGTTTGCCATGAAATTTCCACAGTACATCCTCCAGCAAAATCCTTAGGGGAAACTTGACCAAGTTACCAGTGTGTTGTTTTGACCAGTATTCATGTTCTGGGGTGGAATGAAACACTGCAGCCCCAAGTGGCTCATCAGTTTTAATCTGTCTATTTAAGGATAGAGCATCCAAATATCTGGGTTAGCAACAATAACTGATAGCTCTTGGCACTTTGTCATCAAATGAATGATTCCATGAATTGAATGCTTTGTTCTGTTCGTCACTGTCTCAGATCCACATGAAGACGATGCCTGCAGCCATGTACCGCCTGCTGACTGCCCAGGAGCAACCTGTTTACATTTAACAAGATAAAGCCCTGACCTCACACACCCTTTAAATTTCCTGAAATTATCTGTCACTCCACAAGACACCCCCATCTCCAGTTCCCTACTGTACTTCTCTATCCACTGCTGATACAGTGAGCTGTTGGTCAGATTATTCTGTTGCTCAGCCCTGTTTTCAAGTGACAACTTAGAATATCCACTAAAGCGTACTTTGGCTAAAGGTGCAGGTAGTGAAAGGATGTTTAAATCCAATGAATGTTCAGCACCTAGTAGTTCCCTGAAGCCTAACATTTTTGTTTTGCTTCACTGTTGATGTTTTGAAACACATTTCACACTTTAGCAAAAAAACCCGGGTGATGCCTTTGATCACTATTAAATACTGAAGGCAATGTGCACATCCAACCCTGACTGCCATGCTGCTATTTCCCTGGCATGACATTGCCTGTGTGTGCTTGTATTTCCTCCACCAAATGATTTTGTTGGTGGTCCTGTTTTAGCTCATTTCAGGGGGCCAAACTTGCTTTTGTTCTCAGCTTTCCCACTGTGACAGCCGAGTATGTGAACACCCACTCACCCCTCCATCACATTTACTGCATTGTTGAGGAGTTGACCACATTTCCAACAGGAAAGCTTTCCAACTTGACTGCAGTGGATTGTTACTTTGCTTATTATATTTTCATTCTGTTTGTTAGATCTTTTAAAAATTCTCTGTCCAGTAGCACAAACACAGCCCTGGCTCACGTGAGGCCCTGTTACACTAAACATGATGTCTGTGTGTTCTACTTTATTTAGGTGTTTGCACAAGATTCAGGAATGGAATGAAAATGACATCGGATCAACTTCTTCCCCTTAAATTGAAAAAGGGAAAGTAAAACACTATTCTCTGTTGTATTACACACAAATGGAAACCAAACCTGTTTAATTTGGTCTCAATACAAAATACATATTCATATTATATACTCAGCTATACACCTTGCTTAACCCAAAAGCATGTGGAATGAACCTAGAACCACATCACCTGTTGATGCAGAAAGCACCATATTGTATGGTGTGCAAGTACAAAGTCGGTTTCTTTAATACAGGGTTCTGGGTGCATTGGACTGGGTGTACACTGTACACTAAAGAGTGCTTAGAGCAAGTGCAATAACACTCAACCATACATGTACAGTATAAAGTACTTCATTCTCAAGTGACGGCTGGAATCATGTGTGGCATGAACAAATTAAGGCCATAACCTACAGTAAATACACAACGCCCATCAATACAGTGTCCTGGAATACTGACCACTCTGCTGCTCTCACTCTGTCTTTAACATAGTACATTTCTTATTCATTAGATAATTCTGGTTAGCTACTTTCAACAAAACTCAGGACTTAAGTATGTTAACGTCTTCTTGGGAATGGAGGGGTTATGCCCTTTGAGCCACTGGAAGCCTTTTAATGTTAAATATTGGTGCAGGAGACGGTAGTAGTTTAACTGTGGACAAAACAACAGCAATGGAGAGCTGTTAAGTGTAAATGAAAACAATAAAAGCAGCAGAGTGGTGAGCATGACATTGAGTCTGTTGTTGTACTGATGAATTAGTGCTGTGGAAATAGACATTGATCTGAATGTATCAAGAAAACAGCTAAGCTTTAAAATAAAGGAGGAGTAGATCAGACAATGAGGAAGCCTTGAACCAAGGGCAGGTCGCCAGTCTACTACAGTGCTGACAGAGACTGACAACCACACACACTAAGGGACAATTCTTAGAATCGCCAATCAACTTAAGCTACATGTCTGTGGGAGGAAGCCAGAGAGAACCCACAAAGTCACAGGGACAACAAACAGCCTGCACACAGAAAGGCCCCCGGTCAGCTGGGGCTTTAATCTGGAACCTTCTTGCTGTGAGGCAACAGCGCTAACCACTGCGCCACCATGCTGGCTGGGAGAGTGTGTAGATTGTAAACAAAAACTGAATGAAATGATTTGGAACTCTTTAAAATCCCATATTTAATTGAAAATAGTACAAAGACAACCTATCAAATGTTGAACCTGAGAAACTGTATCATTTTAAAAAAACCTGCTCCTTTTAAAATTGATGCCAGCAAGACATTTCAAAACATTTGGGGCTGGAGTCTGTTTACCACTGTGTTGCACCACCTTTTCTTTTAACAACACTCTGTGAGCATTAGGGAAGTGAGGAGAAAGCCAAATGTTTTCCTATTTCTTCTTGATTCTCAGTGAGTGACAGACCTGGACTGCCGGCAGACCAGTTTAGCACCCCAACTCTTATTATGGAGCCATGTTGTTAGAACACATGCAGCAAGAGGTTTGGCATCGTCTTGCTGATATAAACGAGGCCTTCACTGAAAAAGATGTCATCTGGATGGCAGCATATGTTCCTCCAAAGCCTGTGTCATTAATGGTGCCACATATTCACAAGTTCCCCATGCTGTGTGCACTACTGCCCCTCCATGCCATCATGGACGCTGCCTTTTGAGCTGCTTGCTGATAACAAGCCGGAGAGTCCCTCTCCTCTTTAGCCCAAAGGACACGACACCTATGGTTTCCTAAAGGAATTTCAAATTCTGACTCCTCAGACCACATTACAGTTTTCCACTTGGTCTAAATCCATCTTAAAGGACTCCGAGCCTAGAGAAGGTGGTGGTGTACATGGTTTTTCTTTGCATGGCAGAGTCCAATTTGCATTTGTGGATACAGGGACGAGCCATGTTCACCGACAGTGGTTCTGAGAGGTGTTCCTGAGCCCATGGCGTTATTTCCACTCCAGAATCACATCTGGTTTGAATGTAGTGTCGCCTGAGGGTCAGAAGACCTTGGCCATTCACCGTTGAGCTTTGGCCTCGTCCCTTGCTTCCAAAGATTTCTCCAGATTCTCTGAATCTGTTACTATTAGGTACTGTTGATGATAAAAAAACCCTCAAATATTTGTAATTTCACAGATAAATGTTCTTGTAATATTGATCAGCTATTTGCCACAAAGTGAGGAACCTCACTCCACCCTCACCTCTAAATGACTCAGCTTCTCTTTTCAAAGCATTTCATCCAGGTTTTTTTTTGTTTTGTTTTGTTTTTTTTTTTTTACAATATACAGTACAGTGTCGTTTTTGGAATTTGAAGTTGTACATGCATCATTTGATGGTGAATCGCGAATGGGGACAGCTGGTTGTTGACTTGTTATGAGCTTAATGTGACAGTTTTGGAATTTTATTGTTTTAAATGTAAAAATGATAAATTATCTATGGGACAAAAAGGACTGAGAAGAGGGGACATTAGACATGAATGGGAACTATATTATCAGGTTTATCACACTATTAGGAAAAACACTAAAACAGAAGAAACTAGTTCAGTTTAGTTTGTCATCAGCTGAAAAACTTTTTTTTTCTTAATAAAGTGTGGTGGTTCTGCCTGCATGTGTTCCACGTCCACCAAAGCTCTACTGCAGTGTGCACCCTCAGTCTATCCCTGCAATGCAAAGTGTTCACGGGTTCAACTCTGTTAAGTGCAATGTGATTTTGTGTTCAGTTTGTTTGAAATGGATTTTTCTTATAGCAATGTTTTGGGGTAATTTATTAAAATTGTGTATTTATGCATTTAATGACAACGTACATCAGCTAGTTTGTCACATTTCAATGGTGCTCATAATAAGACACTATAAAATGACATTGTTGCTGTACTCCTGTTACTACTGTATGTGTTTTATGCTGCTTGCTATAAGATGCATATTCTTTGCATTCAATGTTCAGTTTCATTTGTTCCCATCATCAACTCAAAAAGACTTGAAGCTTGGGTTTGGTAGATAATCCACCACTATGGGTATTATTGTTGAGGTTTCCAGTGTCTACACACTGATTTTAGGCTGTCAGGAAATCAGTTGAAATGAATGTTCTCCAACATGTCCTCAGTGATGTAGAGAAAAGCGTGAAAACACTGGCAATAATCTTTAGAAAATGCTGTGGATATTCTTAAAACTTACCTGTCAAGGTACTTAATAAAAGTGGTGATTGTTTTTGGCAAAGAGGACAATGATCATGTGGGTCAGATTCTGCATATGTGTATCAATTATGCCTGGAAGGTCAAAGGATTTAATGTCTGAGCTGAAGATGTGTTTAAATAAGATCAAAACACTTTTGGTCTTAATATTGAATTATGTGTTACTGAAGTCACACACAGATGTCTCTGAGCTCATCTGTATCTGTACACAGATATTTAGACTTGGTGGAATTGAAGTTTGCCGCTATAATTGACAGATGATTTGAGAGTTTACACAAAAATAGAAGGCTATTTCTTTTTATGAAGCTGTAACAGATGGTGGATGCAGGACCTCCCGAGTAAAACTTAATGAGCTACCTCCACCAAGGAGGTTATGTTTTTGGTTCTGTGTATGTGTGTTGGTTAGCAGGATTATGGACAAATGGCTGGATGGACCATCAGCATTTTTGGTACAGACATTGGTGGGGACCAACCCTAGAAGAGATTAGATTTTGGCTTTAAAAGGTCAAGGTCACAAAAAATAACAAATCCACATCTCTAACATTGGTCAACATTTTTAAAAGTCCTATTGTCCTCAGTGGTTATCAAACTCATTTGAAATTTGACACACATATGTAGGGTGGCAATGTCTATCACCAGACCAAATTTCATCCGGGTTTGACAGCTATTTAAAATTAACATTGAAAACCCCATTTGATGCATGTTTCCTGCCATAGCTTGGCCGATAATGAAGATAGAACCATGAAATGTTCAGGTAAGATGCACAGTATTGCTGCCTGTCATACCCTAATAGATGCTCCAGTCCAGATCAAGGATTTTAGGACATTTTGTGTTGTTCTGGATCTCATTTTTCACAAAGGACCCATTTGCAAGTGAATGTTGTGCCTTGGCAGAGGTACATGTGCTCTCTGAGTGCTCGTGTTTACTTTACATCTTATGGTGTGAAAATCTGTAACGTTTACTGGTTTGCCTTGCAATATGGCAAACGCGTCAACGATAGTAAAGCTGATGTTTAAACTGAAACAACTCAAAGGAAGTTTCTGAAGGCCACTAAATTTGGACTTTGTTTCTGGATTGTTTGTGAATGGGTAAAGCCTTGTGTCACCAGTCTACTGAAGCATTTGAACCCAACCCTGACTCCTCTGCTGCCCTCCGCCTTCCCTGGGGGATGTACCAGCCTACGTCACATCAGCTTTGACAAGCTCTTATTTTTCTCTTAGATGTGGTGAACTCATGTCCTCTTTTTGGACCCTGCTATTATTAAGGGTGCCCCTTGTATTGCCCCCTTCACAGCTTATTCTAAATGTCTGTCCTCACTGATGAAGCTCATCTTGGCCTTACTGCTCCTACTGTACTTTTTTTTTTAATGTTAAACTGATACCGAAGAGGAATAGGAGCAACAGCGATCAATTCTGGACTTTTAACACAGGCTTCTATAAGACCTTGTGATTACGCTGTACCATTCTTGCTTTAATGTGTGTGTGTGGGTGTGTGGGTGTGTGTGTGTTATTATAACCAATGTACTCCATGTTCAAACAAAAACCAGCTGGATATATAAAATATAGATAAACTATAAAGAAAATTATGTAAAGGTCTATACTTATATACTATCAGTGTGTTTGGATTGGCCTGTTGGCGAACTTTAGCAACGTGAAAGTTTAATTTAAGGTGAGTGGAATGTAGGAAACAACCTTACTGTATATATAACTATATATATACACATACAGCTCTAGCTGTAGATAAGATAAGATGTGTGTGATATTTCTCCTCCTGCTCGGTCAGGGATGGTAGACTAGCATGACATAATGAAACCAACCAAGGAAACAAGCACTTGAAGCTGGGGGCAAGTAGTGAGGCTGGCTACCAGGCATTTACAAGTGCACGCATTCCGAATGTAACTGAAATATAAATTTTCCATGTGTCTAATCAAAAAAGGTGTACAAAAAAAACTTCTGTAGAGCAGCAGCAATGTTTTATTTATTTGCTAGCCTTTTCTGTGATGTTCTAGCAATTGGAGCTAAATTTCTGTACCAGAGCCAGAATGTTTTTTAATTGAGGCCAGTATTTAAAACAATAAATGATTTGCACAAGGACTTTGGCTCAGGCTGTGATTTCTAAATGACACATATTTTTTTCCTCTCGAAAATGTTATTTGGCATTGATCTGCAACATTAGAGTGTGAGAGAAAATTTGGTTTTCCTCAACAGGACTTGACCTCATGGGCCAAAGGGATTATATAGTATGGCTGTTTATTTGTATGATTTTTGATTCCATTAAAAAGACGCAACAAAGCAGAAGACTTCTCCATCCGTCTATCTTCAGCCGCTTCATCTGAGACCGGGTTGCGAGGGCAGTAGCTCGAGCAGAGCCTCCCAGACTTCCCTCTCCCCACACACCTCCTCTAGCTCCTCAGGAGGAACCCCAAGGCGTTCCCAGGCCAGCCAGGAGACATAGTCTCTCCATAGTCTGTCCTCGGTCTGCCCTGAGGCCTTCTCCTGGAGGGACATGCCCAGAGTACCTCCCCAGGGAGGCGTCCAGGGGGCATCCTAAACAGGTGCCCGAGCCACCTCAACTGGTTCCGCTCAACATGGAGGAGCAGCAGCTCTACTCTGAGCTCCGAACCCTGAGGGTGTGCCCAGCTGCTCTCCAGAGGAAACTCATTTCTGCCGCTTATATCTGCGACCTCTTTCGGTCATGATCCAAAGTTCATGGCCATAGGTGAGGGTAGGCACGTAGATCGACCGGTAAATCTAAGGTCAATTGGTCGATCAGAAGACTTCTTTCAAATAAATATTTAAACAAAACATTATTATGAAGTGGCAGTGCAGCTTGGTTATCAGGCTACACAAGTCTCTCTAATATAACACAGTATTTCCTGTATGTACTCGATAGATGATTTAACCAAATGGGACAAATAAATGGAATAATCAGTCCCTGACCTGATTGTACTGTATGTGTAATGCTGAAAAAGGGAAATGAACCCACTGATGGAAAGAAGCACAAAGGTTGCACAAACACAGACAGCTGCTGTAATGGAAAACCTATTTAACAGGTTCATTTATTGCATGTACATGGGAAGCAGCACTTTCAGTGAGTGAGCAACAAATATAGTTGTAGTGAAGTTCATGTACCCTCTGACATATCCAGCCTCAGTGCCTAACAGTCATATTGTCTCCTCAGGGAACTTACAAAAAAAGCATTCATAAGAAACCATCAGCATACAGTGTAGCCTCTTGACCTTCAGCTTTCCACATTACATCCTGAGCAGTTCCTGTGAGAATCCAGACTGCTTCTGTCTTATCTAAAACCACCTTGGAAGACTCCGCTTTCTGCAGCAAAAACAAATAATTACGCTCACACACATTCAATTTCTGCACACAGTGTGAACCAACATACTCAGAAGATTAAAAGTGTCAAGTATAAGGTCAGTGATTAAATGAATTACTTCAACTACATACATGTTGTGGTGGATTTTTCTTTGGTACTTTCTGGCTCTCTGAAGACTTAAACTGCATATTTTAACTTTACCATAATTAAGGTGGTAGGGCACCATAACCCTGCACTTTCACACACACCATGATGAGAAAGAACTGAGACAGATTGATGAGCAGGTCACTTCACACTGATGTGTTCCCAGAACAAATGCAGGTTAGAGAAATCAAACGAGTTTTCCCGGGAGACAACTGAAGACACAGACAGGCACTGGCAGAATGAAGTAAGATATCCTGTCTGGACAGTTAGAACGTATGATGACTCTGAACACACTCATCCTGCTTAAATGTAATCTTACAGACATCTCAGACCTTTAGTCACACAATCATAACATCCTAATGACATTTTTTATGACAGTGGGTCATGGTGACCAGATTAAATGAACATTAGCATCCTGGAACTGCAGCTGGATGTAAGCCTGCATAGTTCAATTGGATCATCCACAACCCTTAATGCTGACATGAGCATAGCATCAACTCCTACACAGCCTGCCTGTATTCTGTTAGTTATGACAGGAACAGAATGGCCCAAACAATACACACAACACACTGATGATAAGCATGCCAGACATGATACATGAACATAACCAGGTCAGGTACATAACATTTCCCTAGCAGCAAATGTATAATTGCAGCTTAAATATTTTCCAGCAACTATGACTGTTGCAATTAGGAGGAGGCTGTCATTAACTGAAGTGTTTTCACATACTGTAGTATTAGGCCAGTAAAGGTGCTAGTAAGAAGGCAGCGAGAAAGGCTTTACGTCATTTTCCTACACGCTGATTCACGGGGGGTGTTAAAGGATAAGGCTGCAGATTTTCTGTGGTTTGGTTATTTCCCAGAAATCACATACAAAGACTAAAACCAACAATGCACTTGCTGTATTCATCATAATGTCTGTGAATCGAGACCCTGGTTTAGCTTATTGGGCTGTGCTGTAGACCTGAACTGTTGTTCAAAAACTACTGAAACACACCAGTGAGCCACACGGCTCCACTGGGTCACGGGTTTCTTTCTCCTGAAATGTGTGGGGTACGCATGGATGTGTAAAGGAGGGGGACGTCCATGTGAAAAACAACCGTTAGTGTGTATAGTCTCTGAACTGTACATGCACGGGATCTCTGCTCTGGTTAAACAGCTTCTCACACACATAACAGTGTAAGTTCCCCATATGTTTCATGATATGTAGCTATAGCTAGAATGAGCCATAAACATAGTTACAACTACTGTCACCAATACAAACAAACAGTACACAACCACAGACAGTTCCACTGGTAAGCACTAAATAGTAGCAGTACTGTAGTAGTAGTAGTAGTAGTAATAGTAGTTCAAGGTAATTCAACCACATTTACAGTAATCAGACTTAATTTAACATGCACAACCAGCCCTGTAAGCACACAACTGTCTGGAGTTGTCTGAGGACTGAGTAGATGGTCATTTATAAACAGAGGAATCAGTGGATGTGCCAAAATTAATTTGCAGAGGCTAATTACACTAAATCTTTTTGGAGCTTTCTCATGATGCTAAGTAACAATGATGTACAACTCTGTGCCATCTGCAAACTGCCTCTCCTTGTTCTTTCTCTCTCCCTCTCTCCTCTCTGCAGGCTCTCTGTCTTGGGCGTGGCACACAGCTGTGCTGAGTTACACAGCTAAGACTAGTTGCTTCATCACCAACCTCCTATTTAAGATTCTGGCAGATGCTCCTTCAGTGCCAGTACATTGTGGATTACTTCCACGACACTTTGGATCTCCCTATCGACTCTCCCTACTACGTTCTGTTCCTGCAACTCTTCATGTCTCTCCAGCCTCCTAGCCACGCCATCCCTGTTCGTCTCCCTCCGAGCTCTCCAGCAACACTTGCTTTATCTCTCCTGGCTGGCATCTTCCCCCTCTGCTCTCAGGTCAGTCAACATAAGCCACTACCACCTGTGCTCTCTGCTGCCAGAGCTTGCTGCCTCAAACTGCAACACCCAACTCCTCTCCCTGGTCTTCCCCTCCTCATGACATCCTGTGAATTCTCTTTCCTGAGGAGCCTACTCATCCCCAGTCTCAGCACCTCTTCTCAAATACTGTCACTATTCACCTGCTGTTTGCTTCTAATAAGATCTTGTGTTAGAACCGTGTGTCTGCCTCCTGAGTCCCGCCTGCTTGCTCACCCCGCTCCTGCGAGTGAGCAATCATAACACTGCCCTGACAGTGCTGACCTTTCAGTGAGTGGCAGTGTCCAAAACAGAGGGAGATATCATGTTAGCTGTGCTGCATCATTCTTATTTATATAACCTCACTCTGCCCCACAAAAGAGGCATGGTGTCCAGACTCTTGATCAGACTTTTGATTTAACCGTGCTAACTTTTTCTGTCCAGTTTGTTACAGAACCATGTTTCCGTGGTGGGTTTGCATTGGAACACTTTTTTCAAATGGCTTGTGATTTTCAGATAAGTGTGTGGAATAAAATTTGAATTTGTCTACAGAGAAGCATACAATTTAAAATATACGAAAATTAGCAATACAATTTGTATACTTGTTCTCAGTTTAGTTTAATAAAATTGGTACCAAATTTCTTTCCAAGAAACTTTTTAGAAATTATTAAGAAATGATAGACCCATAAAAAAGAAGTGGTTTTATCAGTATCTGACCATAAAGTAACAAGATACATTTAAAAGAACTGTTGTCATGTACAGTTGTACTGAGATGACTGGCACAAATGCAATCTTAAGATCTCAGCAAATGTTTAGAACGCATCCAGAACCTTGAATGCAAGTTACTATGTTTTGGCACAAGGTGCCCATGTTTTTTTGTATTTCACACACAGACACACACACGCACGCAAAAACAAAAAACACCAGCATTAGAAGAGCAAAAATATTCTTAAACCTGCACTCATACACACTCATCTACACACACTCAGGTCCTCCACAGTGGCTAGATTTGCAGTCCAGTGGTTATAAGGTTTTTCCTCAAAATCTAGGAAAAGATAGGCCAGCGTGTGGCTAAGTTGCCATGCAACATATGCCAGTAACACTGGCTTTTCCTCAAATTACTGTCTCTTTAAAGACTCCGATCAGACTGTGAGGGCGACCGGGGTGACCCAGCGGGGACCCTGTCCTTGAAGCTAATCTAGATCCTGTCCTTGACACCACTTTTCTATTTCCTCGATATTCCAGTGACTCGAGTGCTGCAAAGGTGAAGGAGCTAAGGTCCCCACAGCTCTGCAGGTGCAGCAGACCTGACCTTCTCCTGAGGGGCCAGGACAAAGTCTGGGAGGAGCTGCCAGCTGGCTGCCACTGCTGGGAATGTTTAGGCTGACTGGGACCCATCTCTGCGTCAGTGAACACCTGCAAGCAAATAGGAAAGCAATGTCCAGGACACCCCTAAATATACAGTAGATGTTGCATAGCACAAACATATTAATTTGCAGTGATTGATTATCTTGGAAGTGTAGTGGTTAAAACAAATGTAGTTATAGTTAATATGTAACAGAGTACAACAGGAGTGAATAGGTCACACACATATATATTACATGTGTATTAGTTAATAGTTAAAGGTCACATTGTAAGTCAAGATGTTTGCCTTGCTCCTGCAATCTCTGTCCTGGGCTCTGTGTAAATTGTTTAGAGAAGTTCATGTGCTGAAGCTGTAACATCCTCAAGTTCATATGCTATTTTGGAAGAACTTGCTGAGTCAGCACAAAATTAGAGTTCATGTCCCGGCCATCTTACTTAACAAACAATTCCCAGAAAAGGGGAAGTCAAGGATTGCCGGTAAACTGAGAATTTGGTATAAACAAGGGGAAAAACAGTATGATTAATGAATACATAGAGTACATAAGAGCTAGTGTTAGGCTGTATCAGGAACGAGCAAGCAAGAGAGCAGGCAGAGGCTTGGATTATGGCTGCTTCCACGCACAAACTCTTCCATCTGCAGAGGACAAAGGTGATTATGTATCTAGCGAATTTCTGTAACAATTGCAAAAATAAATGTTCATTGGAACTGTAGTGATTTGTTGACCGACAGACTTCTCCACTACAGAAACAACACACGCTCACTTGCATTAGGTACTACAACTAACATAGTCCTGTAATCCTGTGAATTTTTCTTGATGAAGGATCTAATGTTTAGATTGTGTTGAAACTGTTTCAGAGTGGTAAATGTATTAGTACGGACACCTACCTGTTCTATGTAACTGGCACAGCGTACAGCCTCCTTCATGTGCTCCTGATCTGACTGCAGGACATTTCGTATGCTATCCACCAGCTCTTGGACCTCGGGGGCCAGACCCTGGGAGGCTGGCTGCTCCAGGATTTTCCTTACCAGCTGCTGCGTATGCCTGTAGCTCTGGTAGTCAACCATGGAGGAGGGTCGGGGCCGGCGGGGTGTCCTACTGATGTTGTTGCCCTGTCGCAATGTGACCTGGCCCTGTGTGTTGGCAGTTAGTGTGGGCTGGGAGGTCTGGGTGGAAGAATCTGTGGTCTGAGGAGATGGAGTGAGGGGAGTATCACTGCTGCTCCACACTACAGCACACATCAGAGGAGGAAGATGGATCAGGTTCTCCAGTTATACATAAATATCCAACATAGCTTCATGTGAAACAGTGCTTGTGAAACTTTAGTGGTACAAGCTGTAAAATTAAAAATAACACAAATAAATTAGAAATTTAGAGGTGACAGCTATTTCAGAAAAAGGTCTCCAAAATTCAATCCTTTATTGTGGTCAAAACAGAATACATAATGTAATTAACCTTTTTAAATATATTGCACTGTCCCACCTGTGGGACACTTTGGACATAGTAGTGCTACGTCAGGTGTGTTTTAGATTCTTGATTCTAGTAACTCCTCTAAACAATATATTAAGCTAATTTTAGTGCCATTAACAATACTGACATCAAATTAGTTCAGGTTTGTGGCCTGGAGTCCTCCAATGGGACAATAAGGATCAAATAAATATAAAGACTTATTGACATGCTGATTATGTATATACTGTACCGTAAAATCCGGACTATAAGCCGCTACTTTTTTCACAAGCTTTAAACCCGGCGGCTTAAACAACGATGCGGCTAATTTATGGATTTCGACGAGCTTCATGCCATCCAATACATTTAGCCTTGTCAGATCAGACCGATGAAATTACCGAACAGTTCAGTTGACCAATGAAACTGTTTGAATTAAATCAAATGCACTCACACTAAATTCTTCAGATCAGTCATTTTGCACTTCATGCACACACCCCCATCATGGAAAACGCACAAAGAAATGCATATGATGCATCTTTCAAGTTAAAGGCGATCAATCTGGCTGTCGAAGGAAATAGAGCTGCTGCACATAAACTTGGAATCGATGAATGGATGGTAAGACGTTGGAGAAGGCAGTGTGAAAAACTGACTCAATCCAAAAAGACGACAAAAGCTGTGCAACATCTTTCTGTGTAAATATCTCATGTTACAACGTGGACACCTGCAGCTTATAGACAAGTGCGGCCTATATATGTACACATTTTTGTTTCTTCTTAAATTTAGTCAGGTTATAGTCAGGTGCGCTCAATAGTCCGGATTTTACGTAGTCTGAATTGGTATGTGGCAGTGGTTTCATCTCAGTTTTAAAAGAGTGCATAGTTCTTCGTGAGCAATAAGAACCCCAACCTTTAGCAGCAAGGTCCATCAACACTGGGTCACTGTTGGAGCGGCAGATCCTTGCTTTCTTCCAGAAGCTCAGTGCTGGAATGTGTTGCTGCTGCTGAGGAGGAGGCCAGAGCTGGGGATTTGCCTGTGGAATGACCCCTGACAACACAGATACTATTGGAGGACTCACGTCTATGACCAGGTAGAAACAGATGGACACAAATGCATTTAGAACAAAAGCCAGTGTCTGAAGTTCATTTTAAACCAAATAACACAAACTTAGAATATGGGCAGACACTAAATTCCAAATGCTTACATCCAGAGAAATGTAGTACACATTATCATAGATGCCTACCTATTCACCACAAGTACTTGTAAACTTCCAAATGATCATATATACAAGAACAGTACAAGTGTGTTTGATACACACATGTAAGGGAGACTGCTTTGCCTAGTGTGACAAATATTATGGAGGTCACATTATGGCTACAAGCAACTGAAGCCATTTTCATCCTGATTATGATGAGTGCAGGATGAAAAGCATGAGGAAATCACCCAGAACCAGACAAAGTGACAGAAACCTACTAAAGCTGCACACTGCTCACACTGTTATGTGTAGAACTGATTCCTCCTTGCATTCAAATCCAGTTTCTCTTTTTATACTGTAGCACCATATCATACAAAAGCAGTTCAAAGTACTTATTAACATATATGGTAATGGTTTACAATATATGTAGTAAATTGCATACAGTACATGCAAATACAGACTTCTAGCAAACTCCAGCTCAGACAATTTGTACTGTTATATCACACGTGTTCTTGCATACAATACTTAAAGTTTTATATCTTGAAAACCACAAAAACTGCCTTTAACAATAGCCATGCTTCAGATTTATATTGCTTCTGGATAGGAAGTTGTATGATCCCTTGCATCAAACACCTACAGTTTACTTATAAAGCTACAACAATAACTGGCCAATGATGAATATCCATTGAAAGAGGCTTACAGCTCTGCACTGTCTGGTATGACCATTTTTAGCTAATGATTTTATAGCTGTAGTTGGTGGAAATAGCTTTGCTGTTTGATTGAGTCTTTAAGGAATGTGAGAAGCAACAAAGATTCTAGAAGAATTAATCCTCTCTAAATGAATATTAGCTCTATTAAACTAACAATGCCAAAACAATACATCCACATAAGGGGGGAGCAAAGTGTCAGGTTATGAACGACACTGGATGTTATGAGTGAGCAGATACTGTGGTCAAACAGCAGGTGACCAAGCCATTGTTGGAGAAGAATGACTGAAGCAGCTGATGCCAATCCAGTGAATTAGATCAGCGTCCATCCATCCATCTTCCTCCGCTTAGCCGGAACCGGGTCGTGGGGGCAGCAGTCTAAGCAGAGATGCCCAGAGATTGACCAGTAAATCAAGAGCTTCACCTTGCAGCTCAGCTCTCTCTTCACCACGACGGACCAGTACATTGACCGCATTACTGCAGAAGCTGCACCGATCCGCCTGTCAATCTCCCGTTCCATCCTTCCCTCACTCGTGAACAAGACCCCAAGATACTTGAACTCCTCCACTTGAGGCAGGAACGCTCCACCAACCTGAAGGGAACAAGCCACCCTTTTCCGGAACCATGGCCTCGGATTTGGAGGTGCTGATTCTCATCCCAGCCGCTTCACACTCGGCTGCAAACCGCCCCAGTGCATGCTGGCCCCAAACCAGACTCCCTCCGGCCCCTGGCTGCACCTAGAAATTCTGTCCATAAAAATGATGAACAGAACCGGTCACAAAGGGCAGCCCTGCCGGAGTCCAACGTACAACGGAAACAAGTCTGACTTACTGCCGGCAATGTGAACCAAGCTCCTGCTCTGGTCGTACAGGGACCAGACAGCCCTCAATGTGTCCTGGCGCCGCGTGGATTGGCAGCAAGCTCCAGCAGCTCTGTCCTCTTTTGTATTTTCTTTTTTTTTTCCATGCTTTCCATGCCTGCTTTGTGTTATACTTCTTCTGTAGGCCTCTGTGGAGCAGTGCTACTAGGAGTACAACTTTTTATTGCGTTTACATTATGTTTTATACTTTTTCGTGACCTCCCGAGTCGGGGGACTCCGGGAGCAGTAGCCCCATTGTTTACTCTCGAGACCAGCAGCTCGCCCTCGAGAAGCTGGAGATTGCCACGGAGATACGACGCAAAATGCGAGGCTGTAGGGCTGGAGTAAAGCGCTGAGAGAGGAAACGGAGGTATAAGCCATGTCTACCATCTGTCATTATGGGAAATGTCCGGTCCCTCTCCAACAAGATGGACGAGCTAACGGCGCTAACAAGAGTGGAAAGGGTGTACAGGGAGAGTAGCATTATGTGATTCACCGAGACCTGGATGAACAAGGACATTTCTGATTCAGTGGTCTCCCTACATGGATTCACACTAGTTTGTGCAGATCGAAGCACAGCAGAGAGCATTAATAAGAAAGGAGGGGTTTAGCTGTGTACATAAATAACCATCCTAAGATGAGGATTAAAGCATGTGGGTAGACATGTTACTGTTAAGGAAAAATTCTGTAGCAGAGACAGTGAGCTATTAGCTGTCAGTGCACCGCCGTACTATATTCCCAGGGAGTACTCTCATGTAATCGTGGTGACAGTGTACATAAATCCCTCCGCCGATGCTACTGCTGTATGCAAGCATGTGCAGAGCACCATGCCTAGGTTGCAGACACAACACCCACATGCTTAAATCCTCATCTCAGGGGATTTTAACCATGCCTCCCTCCCCTTCTCTGCCACCCTCCCAAACTTCACCCAGTATGTTAGTTGCTGCACGAGGGACAATAAAACTATGGACCTACTGTATGCAAATGCCAGGAAGCCATACACCTCCGCCCCCTCCCCCCTCTAGGTCACTCTGACCACAACCTTGTCCACCTACTTCCTGTGTATACTCCAGTGGTGAAAAAGGTGTCACCACAGGTCAGAGTAGTAAAGGCATGGACAGAGGAGGCAATTGAGCAGCTGAGAGACTGTTTTCACACCACAGACTGGGACATCCTCTGCAGTCCTCATGGAGAGGACATAGACGGCCTCACACACTGTGTTTCGGATTACATAAACTTCTGTGGGGAAAATACCGTACCATCCAGGAGAGTACGGTGTTTTCCCAATAACAAGCCATGGGTGAGCCCCAAGTTAAAGGAATTGCTGAATGAAAAGAAGAGGGCTTTCCTCTCAGGGGACAAGGAGGAGCTGAGCAGGATGCAGCAGGAACTAAAGTACATGATCCGGAGGTGCAAGGCTAGCTACAGGAAGAAGCTGGAGCAGAGCATGGAAACAAACAATGTACTAGAGGTGTGGAGAGGTCTGAAACACATCTCGAGCCATGGAAAAAGTGGGGATGATCACCAGGTCGCGGGAGACCAGGCCTGGGCAAACGAATTGAATCATTTTTAACAGATTTGACCCTACCCAGTCCTTAGCCCCCACCCTGCCAGCCCCCCGTCTCACCTCTCTAGGTCAGTCATCCCCTCGCAGCTGCAGCTGCTCACACCTCAGCCAGACCTTGCCCCTCCTTCCACTGTCACGGGGGGTTCTCAACAGCCTACATCTCCTGACCAGTCCCCGCTCACCTGCCCCCTCTGCCTCACAGCAGACCACGTCAGGAGGGAGTTAAGGAGGATTAAGGCCAGTAAGGCCACAGGCCCTGACCACATCAGTCCCAGGGTCCTCAGGGAGTGTGCAGACCAGCTCAGTGAAGTGGTCTTGTACATGTTTAATCTGAGTCTTGGCCTGGAGAGAGTTCCGGTTCTGTGGAAGACATCCTGTGTGGTCCCAGTTCCTAAAATAACTAATCCCCCCCGCTTTAAAGGACCATCAACTAGCAGGAATATAATAAGACAATGTATGCTACACGGGAGCTGTATGTGCATTAGTCAACAGCACTTCCTCAGATTCAGCAGCTGCTCCTCTGACAATCACCAGATGAAAATGCTGCTGAGTCGACACAGCAATGCATGAGTGTTGCCAAGTCCTGGCATGAAATATAACTG